TGAATGAATGAATGAATGAATGAATGAATAAATAAATAAATAAATAAATAAATAAATAAATAAATAAATAAATAAATAAATAAATAAATAAAAATACAAAGGAGGAAAAAGGAACTGCTGAGGTAGACGAGAGTGCAGAGAAAGAAAAGGGGGAGGACATTTGGGGCAACATTCTGGAGTGACAGGAGGGTCCTTGGCACCCAGAAGTATTCCCATATTATGGATACACTGGCTTCATCATGGAATGTCCTTCCATGACTCATGGTTTGACCAAAGGACTGCTAAACCAGCCTAACACTGAACCTATGGCAAGGCTGATCCTGGGGTGAACTGGGCTCACTCCAACAGAATCTAGCCCAACCCCATCTCACCAACCCAAGTCCAACCCAACTAAGAAAAGAGTAACAATTCAAGATGCTATAGCAGCTCCTACAAGACCTCTGTCCTAAGGAAGAGTGTAAGAGGGAGCAAGAATATTAAAAGACTAAGGATGAGTACAATCATCTAGAGCCGTGATCATCAACCTTGGGCCTCCAGATGTTCTTGAACTACAACTCCCAGAAGCCTTCACCACCACCTCTGCTGACCAGGATTTCTGGGAGTTCAAGTCCAAGAACATCTGGAGGCCTAAGGTATCCATATGCTCTAGACCACTGATCTAGAGGACTTAAACTGAACTAGCACTTAACTTAACCACCCAGTCTTAAGGGACCTGGAAGTAGGGAAAGTGAAGCTCTGGAAAGAAAGAGACAATTTCAGAAATATCCTAAGCAGAAGGGCTACTGGGCATGTTGGCAGTAATATTCTGGGAGTAATGGTTGTTGTTGTTTTTAACTTTCCTCATCACTCCCAAAGCTTTATATTTACTGTATCAGACCAGATCAGTGAGAAAGTATTCCAGTCATTATCAACAACATAGTACAACAGAAGCAATGGCTGGAAGTTTAATTTTCAACATGCTGTCCTAGATTTATTTCTAATATAAATGCCTCCCACAGTACCCCAGTCCCTGTTTGGATGTTGAAGTGAGTGGTGCAGAGCCCACCTGCACTTCAGCCACAAAGCACAGCTTTCTTTGTGGCCACTGCAGCTCTCAATGGATGCTGGGAACCATTCTTCTAATCCAGATCCTCAGTGGCCATATACTGTAAAACTGTTTCTGGCACATCAGCTGGACTTAGTCATCATCATCAGTCTTCTCAAACAATTTTCTTTGTATCATTCTCTGTATTCCTTTGGGCTAACACAGAGTCACCAGTTGACACATTGGTCCATTTTTTTGCATCTGTTCTTATCAAGACTGTACTTATAGCACCCAGGACACTGGGTCATATCCAGTTTTAGAAGTAAGAAGGGTGTGCACGCACACACGCATGCATGCACAAACACACACACACACAGAGAAATTTCTCTGATGGGATTGTACAAGGAAATGCTTTCTGCAATTTATTAAACTTGAAGACTGTTGGACCCACTACATTTCCAGATGGCAGGGGAATCATACACCGTGGTTTCCCCCCATACGGTACACTGGGCATGGTACTCTCAGTCAGCTAGCAGTTTTTTTTTTCTGCCCAAACCCATTATCCCACACTGAGAGGGGAAAAAAATCAGCTCTAGCTAATATGGACATTTTCACTCCAATAACATTATGGTGTGTTTTCCTTTTCAATATCCCACTCCCACTCCCCTCCCCACAACATCAGGGCCACAAATGTTCCTATTTCAGACCTAGAAATCAGTGTATGTTGGAAGGGAGAACTAATGGCAAATGTCATAACAGAAAGTTTTAAAAGTGAGTCTAAAACTGTAGTTTTATATGTTATGAAAGGGTTATTTCTGTTCCCCCCCCCCATAAAATTGAGTGAAATTAACCAATGTACTATTTTAAAAAAAGGTATATTAAACCTTGGCTGGGTAGCTCAGTGAGTTAGGTAACTGTCTGTGGAGTCAGAGGTTGTGAGTTCAATTCCCCACTATGCATCCCAGAAGAGCCAGCCCGTGTGGCCTCAGGCAACGTGCACAACTCCAGGATGCCCCCAAAGAAGGGAATAGTAAACCACTTCTGATGACTTTCTACCTAGTAAATTTTCAAAGGGTCACCATAAGTCAGAACTGACTTGACATAAATTATTATTATTATACTACCCACAATGAAATCGACAGTTTTCCCATGCAGTAGAGAATTCCATTTAAAAGATGGTATCCATATGCTTAATTTTGCAAAAATGTATTCACTCTTCAGACTTCATATTTTACTTTACATTTCACAGTGTATAGAGTGGCAATTAGGATTTCAACTCTGATTATGAATTAGACTATATCTCTACCTGAACATAATAATTTGTCTAATTTTCTGAAATGAATTAAAATTATAACTAGAGTATGACACAAGCATACTTGAAACATTTGAGGTTCCACTTAAATATATGCTTGTCTTTCTCTTAGCATGGTGAGGTATTATCTTAGTAAATGTTCAGCATAATTCATTAATTCTAGGTGGTGCTTCTGCTCCCAACAATGAGACAGTAAGAGCTGCAGATTATGTGGATCTTTCTCCTTTCCCATAATCAACAGCTTGGAAACTCCAGTGGACTAACAAGGAACCAGCATTGTCATTCATAAGTAAATACTTAAATGATTGCACAGGATTCTGCTAACTTATCTTTCCAACGGGTTCCTTTTCCATGGACTGCCACAACTTCCCCAAATTTATTTTCTAAGATGTTTGTTAATTGTTCATAGTGGGGTAGTTGACTGGACAATCATGTGAAATAAACTAAGTCTTCCACTGATCAAAACTTCACTTCATGTTTAGCATTATATAAAAGAAGATCCAGACACTTATGTTTTCAGTCAATGAAGTCTGGTGTTTGTGATATATGTAAAATACACATCACAAATGATCAATTGCTATGCAAAAATCTATGTGTACTGTGATCTTGTTTAAGTCTCACTGTGGTAGGTGTAGTGAAACTGCTAAATTAAGAAAGTGTATGTTCACACGTATCAGTCATGAGGCAAGCTATATTATATAAATTATGAAGTCAAAGAAAGGAAGTTGATACAGTATATGTATACCAAAGTTCTATCTTGTAAGCAAAGTTTTTACTCTAATTAGAAAACAAGCTGTGACTCAGCCAAAACACCTCAATCTCACAACTATACCCATTAGAGATGGGCACAAAATGCTGGTTGGGCACCCACTCGGAGGCAGCACATGGAAGACATAGGGCAGGAAAGCCAGGCTGCTGCGTCTGAGAGGTAGGGCTCTGAAGTGTTGAAAACCTGTTTGGTCAATAAATGAACAGGCACAAACCCCCTAACTGGTGGTCTGTGCCCATTTATAATACCAATTACTAGATCTATTCCCTCCTACATTTATAATTCATTGAAATATTTTATAATTTAATAGGAAATATATTCTATAATTTAATAATACAGTATTCTATAATTTAAGAAGTGTATTCTATAATCTGATAATATCTTACATAAAATGCAGATTAACTCTTCAAATTACGAAGAGTGTGAGCATGAAAAAAAAGGTCAAATATTCTGAATTATCTGGTTTTAAGTAAATGATTTTATGTTTTCTCACAAAAAAAATCAGTGACTTAAATCCAATTGTTAGCTTCAACTAAAATAGATGCACTGAATCAATAAGATTTTTTAAAGTATTAACTTAACTAATGTTGCATTAATTTAGTAGGTCCACTCTAGTTGCAATTCATACCTGGATTTAGCTCATAATAAATAATAAAGTTCATTGCTCACTATAAAGAATACTTTCCTGTCATTAAGTCATTCATTCTTATACTGATCCTGCGAAATAATCACAATTAAATAAATTCTATATTTCCTTAAATGATCTATAATTAATTTTCCTGTATAAAATATAACAAAGTGTTTTACAAGTTAACAGCATCTGAAACAGCAGCTTAAAGTAGTGTAAAGCAGCTATAATGTAAGGTACTGTAAGAACCCTTATCTTAAGAAAAGAAAGTTCACAGAGGGAAAAAATGATTCATTTGATACATAATGCTGGAGGAGAGCTTTGCAGATACCCCTGACTGCCTGAAAGATGATCAAGTGGGCCTAGAACAAACAACCCTGAACTATATCTGGAGATGGGGGGGAAAAGGATGAAACTGAGGTTGCCATACTTTGGGTACATCATGAGAAGGCAGGATTCATTAGAAAAGAGAATAATGTTGGGAAAGGTTGAAGGCGGCAAGAGAAGATGAAGAAGAAATACAAGATAGACTGACTTCCTAAAGGAACCACAGTCTTGAGTTTATAGAGCTGAGCAGTGCTACTGAGGACAGAACATACTGGACATCTCTCATTCATAAGGTCACCATCAGATGGAAGCAAAAACAACAACATGAGAATGTAGAAGGAGGCTATACTAATGTTGGATAGAAATCTACCGAAGTATCACATTACTACCCTGAGTTCTCTATTTCCATTCAAGACAAATTAAGGACAAATATAGCAACTCAGAGTACTATATTTGTCCTTAAAAGAAAACATTCTGCCACAATAAATATAATTTAAGGGTATTATAATCAAAGGTCTAATACTGATATCAAGTCATATCTTCAAATTACAGAATAGGTACTACTTCTGATAAAACAAACAAGACAATTATTGCAAACTATTTTGCTTATTATGAAGGATTTCAACAGACAACTTACTTATATGAACTTACCATGTACCACATACTTTGCCATTTGGGATCATTAAAATACATGGACTGTATGCCACCAGGTTTATAATCTCTCTTTCTCCTTATTTTTACAACTTGCTGTTCTATCCATTCCACCTGTCAATAAGGAAAAACACTGGTAAATACCAAAGTGCTAACACAGAGGTTTTAAAATGAATAAACAAATACATAAAAATCTTAACATGTTTGCTACAAATAGGAACAGAAGGTATTTCTTGGCAGGGAGTTCGTTCTGACATTCTTGCAGTCCTAAGCAGTAAGTACACCAATCAGTAGCACCACTATTATGCAAAAATGATTTTCAAAAGAAAAAAAAACTGCTTGGGTTTTATTATTTATATACACATAGAAGCCAAAAGTCTGCCTTTTCAAGACTGTATGAAATCAATACCTCCATGTATTTGTTCTGTCCTATTCATTTAGTAGTGAAAACATAGGATATATATGTGTGGCTATATACTTGGATAATATGTACTAGTGCTATAACAAAGACCTCCCCCACGAGATTTTCTGACCATTCTTGTTCAATTTTCCTTTTGAAGAGAATTTCTAAGGAAGGAAATCTTAGACAAAATTTTTAACAATGAGGTTTAGGATGGTTGTGTTTTTCTTACTTACGAGGTGTTGCTATAGAATCATTCTTATGGGAACTGGTAATCTTCCCAGGTTCCCAAACGTCAATAAAATGTGAGAGAAAGATGCTGTAGAGCAGTGGCTCCCAACCTTGAGTAACCCAGGTGCTTTTGGACAGGAACTCCCAGAAACCCTGGGCAATACAGCTGCTGGTGAAGACTTCTGGGAACTTCTGTCCAAGAATACCTGGGTTACCAAAGGCTGGGAACAACTGCTATGTTGTAACTCCTTCCATAGTTTTTTTTAAAGCTGAGGACAGGTGGGCAGCAACGAAAACTGCAGTGTTAATGTGTAACAGCCGGGGGAGGGGGGGAGAAGAGAAATGCAGCACCTTCTGTCACCTTGCGATGTTACAGTAAGCTGAAAAAATATCACTCTGCACTAGCTTCACCTTTTACTGGAGAAGGATATGTGGCTGCCCTCCTCATCTGCTACAGAGTTTACAGGGAATGAGGTGTTTTATAGGGATAACCCTTTTGCACTTTAACAAAAGACCCAAAGCACACAAGAGGTATTCTTCCATGTAATTCATATACTTTCATGAATCTTAAGTATGAATGACTCCTGTTTATGAAAGAGTACCTGAAAGTTTCATGTTTCTTTCATGTTTCATTTTAATGAGATTTTTTTTTACATTCTTTCTCTGTGAAATTGCCTAGGAAACCTTTCATCCAATAGCATCAGCAGAAGAGCTGTCAGCATCCAATCAGAACATCTGGGGGAGAGTGCAAATTTTGAATGTAAAGATGCCAGGGAAGAAGTCAGGGAGAAATGCTGTTTTTGCTTTATTCATTCCTTGTAGATGAGATTACTGTGAATTTTGGGCCGTGCTTCCGCCTGCCTGCCTACCTCCATCTTGAATCCTTTCTTTCTTTTTCTTCATTTCTTAGGAGATACTCTCTCTCCCACCCCCCATGTCTTTGAATTATTATTGTGGTTGCCATGCAGACTGCCTATGCAAGGATGCCTCCTTAGGGTTTGGTTCCCCTGCTCCATATGGAGGAAGGGGCTTTCCTTTCTTGGATTATTGTTGCTTCTGCATACCTGGTCTGCCCACTGCTACCAAGCTTTCTGGCTGCTTTTTTGCATTCTTCTTACTGCCCGGTGCTGGTGGGGGGGACCTTTGGTATGCTGCGTGGATAGCACTAAACTAGTAGTGTTATGTTCTCTTTTCTAATTTTAGAGCGTGTTACTTTTTGTAGTATTTTTTAAATTAGTCTGATGATGATTTTTCTTTAATATACTGTTGCCTGCTTTTGGAATAAATTGATTCTCTTTTGCCTTGACTCTGCTTTTTGAAGCAGGTTTAAAGGATTCTCTATGAGTTTTACAGTTTCAAAAAACACAAATAGGGAAACTCAAAACAAATGACCTGAAATAGGCTTTTCATTTCCATATCAAACAAAAAGGCTGGAACACAAATATAGGAACAAAGAAAAATGGATGTGGAACCCTTGAAATAACCCCAAATGAAAGGCATATACGTATTTTCACTATGCACATCTCTAATGTGTTAAAAACATCTTCTGCAGTGAAAATACAATTGTCAGCATCAAAATGCTAATTTACCCCTGCATAAGTGAAATGGCATAACTCATAGTGGCAAATTGCTAATAGTTAATTAGGCGCTGTTGTCTTTCTGACTATATGATCAATGCCCCTCTTTACCCGCTACTAGCATTACCAGTGCCCTAAATGACACAAAACAGAGGGCAGCATGCAAGAAGCAAAATGGTGGCCAGGCCCCCAACAAAGATGGCTTTGTTACTACATCACTGCAAATAACCCCCCCCAAAAAAAAAAATCCAAGAAGGAAAACAGCAAAATTGTGGTATAATTGGTGAGTCCCAAAAATGTTGGGAGAATCTCAACAATTTCTTTGGAGAAAATGGGTGAAAATGTTGCTTTGATTTCCCTGCCCAGAAATGTGTTGAATTTTAAAGAGCCATTTGTACATAGCTATAGTATTTGTTTCATCTGTATGTACTGACAGAAGAAAGGTACATACAATTTTAGCAAGAAGCCTCTTTTAGTACTGTTAATGGGGTGGGGTGGGGAAGAACAAGAGATATATCAAAATCTAGCCAGCTTTTATGTTTGTTCTCTGTGTTCTGAATCTCCAGTGACTTTTCTGATGATAAGAAAGCGAATGTGGAAACAATGTGATCTTGATGACCTTCCGTTGGCATATCTTCTAAGCTTCTTGTTGTAATTTAACTTGCTGTTCATTGCCTAGCTGCTTATTTCACTGGCAGATGTACAGGGTTTTTTTAATGGCTTCTGAACAGTACTTTGTGTGTGACTCTTGATAAATGGCCACATTTGCACTGAATTGCTACTTCTGCCGCCTTTATGTGACGCTGCTACCAGAGACATAATGAAAGCTTTTTGACTATATTACAAGGTGAGATACTGATAAAAGTAAAGAACGCGGAAACCCTATGAAGTAATAACGCAAGTAATATTTCTGTTTTATAGGTGAAATACCACAGATGTGTATATAAGCCACATGAAAGGCAATATAATTATTTTGCACTATATAAAAAAGTATAGTGTAGAACTCCATATAACATGTCTTTTTTTCCAGATTGTTATCTCTAGAATTTACATGAATGCATATATGAATTGGTCTTTCCAATGCACTGTCATGTAAATATTCCTCAGTTTGTAATACCTCGTTGTTTCAAACCTCTGGGGTCCGAGTACTTTCTGAGGTCAGAAATTTTAACTATCCTGAGATGAGGTGGAGGGGTGGAACCTGGCATTCTCCATGAGCAAGAGAATATGATTAACAGAGATGTTGGCAAAATTTGCTGAGTCCAAACCTGGAAATAAGTTTTGTTGACATATTAATGCTCTGCTCAATGGAGGAATAAGCATCAGAGGGCTCAAAACTGTTCTTTGACCAGTTTTGACCCATTTCCCCCCTCAGTCCCACTTTCCTGGTTCCAGCCTATTAAAGCACCCCCTAATGCCAAGGAAAGGAAAAGCATCTCTCCTTGCGGGTCTCTTCCATTTTTTAGATTCGCCCTTCCCGCTGCAGCCCCATACAGATTGTTATTCCCATCAGCTGTTGCTCATTTCAAATGTGTACTACTGTCACTGTCACTGAGAAATACGTGAAATGCTCACTGGTTCCCTCAGGTGGCCCATTTTGTTTATTGCAGGTTGAAAATATTGTGAAAAGCAAGTCACAAAAGCATTGATGCTTTCTCTCAAATGCCTTAAACTCACCCACACCCCTCCATCTGATTGGAGATAGGATGGAACTTGTAGTGACGTGTGAGGTCGGCTGCAATTCTGCTGACAGCATTTCCTATCAGTTTAGTGAACTCTCATAATAATATACCTTGCCACAGAACTCCACTCATGAGGCACATTCAAGAGAATGGGAATGAAAAAGGAAAAATTGCATCTCTGTTTCAGTGGGTGCACAGCTGGCCGGAAAAATTACAGGAGGTCCTCCTAAATGAAGCTCCCATGTTCAGAGGTACTATGCCTATGAAGAGGAAATATTTCAGCAAGTAATGTGGGAGGGCCTTGCTTCTGAATTCCTTAGATACTGCTAAAACACTGTCTGAGACTTATAGACTCTAGAGATTGATACAGAATAACTTTTATAAGCTTTTCTGACTCTACATTTCTGACTCAAACAGTGACTTCTAACATTCAACCCTAGCAACTACCTCCACCTCAGACTCCCTGATGAGAAACCAAAGATGGATATAAGAGGTTGCACTAGCTGCCTGCAAGATCACTTTGAGCCATGTCACCTGCCTCCTATACAGTTGCACGCCAGTGCAGCGCCTGCCTATGTTGCAGATCCTAAACTCTCTCACCCACTTGCTTACTTTTGCTCATGATTTTTCACTTGCAGCTATTTGTCTCTGCAGCTCCTGTTGCTTCTTCACTCTGTCACAGTCCAGGTCTCCTCAGCCCTGCAAGACCAGCCCATGTGAAATTTTGAAAGTAGTTGCAGAGATGGAAGAAGAAGAACAGTGACATTTACAGGAGAGAGTATGAAAGGGTGAGTTGAAGTCTGGGGGCCTGAAGCAGCATATAATCCAGCCTGGGATGGGGAAAGAGAGACAAAAGAGAAAGTGCATGTGCATTTGGGTTTCCTTGCTCTCTTTCTCTTCTTACTGCTACTTTTCCTTACTTCCTGTTTCCCTACAACACCTCCTCCAAAAAAAAGGTGGTAGGGCATTTTTTTAAAGCAAATTAAAGAGACCTAGCATTACAAAGGTAATCCTCTTTCCTTCTCACTTATGCCATTCCGCCACCACTTGCAAGGCTCATTTTCATTTCATTGAAGAAACTGTAATAAGCCACCGTCATGGTCATTTAAAACATAAAAATAATCTAAAAGTAAGTTACTTGCTACCTATGGTGCTTCCTCAAATGATGTTTAAAAGTTCTGTTTGATACAATACAGTAGGGCCCCCTTATCCACAGGATCAGTA